ACGAGCCGGTTCAGCTTAGAGAACGCTCTTGGAGGTGACAGCGCCGTTTCGGAGGGGGGAAGTGCTTCTCCGCTTGCTGCTTGGGGATCTCGAGCCGGTTCAGCTTGCCTACATCGCTTGGAGTCACAGCTTTCTCGAAGAGCCACTCCAGGGACTTCGGTGATCTATCTATCAAAAGCTATAATCTCTCCGGCATGGGGTGCAGCGCCGGCAGTGGACTCAAATGTAACAGTGCGGTCTAGAAATGCAACCGGAACCTTAAAAAACCAACGATGGACCATGAAATTACATATATATCCTAAAAAAGCGCAGTCAACAAACAGTCAAATAGAAAAAGGACTAAATTGTGTTAAAATTACAAAGTTAAGGACTTAATTGGTTGAAATTAAAAGTCAAGGACCAATTTGTGAATTTAGCTATAGTCGAGGGACCATTTTGGGTATTTACTCTAATAAAAATGAATATGTATCTTGCTTGGAACTTGGGGTAGCAATGAATAACAAATTTTACTGTGTGGACCACATATCAAAACACAATCACACAAAATAGTGAACTTTATGTATATAAATAATGAACCTTATGCATATAAATACTGAACCTATATTTACTTAATATCATATTCAAAGTAAGTGAGAGTGGGGTGTGTCAAATAAGTTCAGCTATGCTTTACAAATGATGAACTTCATGTATAACATAAATGAGCCTCAAATATACATGCTTAAATAATTAACTTTCAATTAGTTTATACATGTCTAAATAACTAACCTTCAATCAGCTTTTAATTGTAAAATATTCGTAATTACTCCCTCAAAATTAATCTTGCTAGATATTAAGAAGGTTATGTAACATTTCAAGTAGGTTTAAACTCTATAGAAAAATTAAATTAAAAAAAAAAAAAAAAAAAAAAAAAAAAAAAAAAAAAAAAAAAAACTACAAAGGGTCAATCAAGATATATAATTAATAAACTTCTTAATTAATAAGATGAGTGATGATGTATAAACATAAATGATTCTATTTGATTCTAACACTAAATCAAACTAAATCTATAATACAATATATCTATAACACTAACAAACTAAATCTATAATACTACTACATATCTATAATTCTAAATAATTAATTTACTTTTGTGATACTTTCAAAAAAAAAAAAAATTTACTTTTGTGATGGTCATATCAACGAAACTCAATACTTGTTTTGACGAAGGAAATGTTGGAACCAGTTGGCAGACTTCTTAGGATATCTCATTCTCTTGACTATGTTGAAATCAATATACACAATTCCAAACCTTGAATTGTATCCCAATCTCCATTCAAAGTTGTCCACCAATGACCATGCAAAGTACCCAAACAAGTTGGCTCCGTCATCCACTGTCCTCTTCACTTCACCTATATAACTCTTGTAGTAATTGATCCTTTTTGTGTCGTTAAATGATTCAGATAAGGTGAGATTGCCATCATAATCCATCCCTGCAGTAAACCCAGAAATTTTAATGTCAACTCCAAAACCATCATTAAATATGATATATAGGTTTATTGCATTCAGCATTCAAATCTTACCATTTTCAGATATAAACATACGGGGATTGCCGTATTGTTCTTTTACATAGGTTACTGCCTTGTACAATCCCCATGGCACCATGTACAACCAGTCTGAATTTGCCTATAAACATTAACCACAAAAGAAATTAGATCAGAGAAAACCACGAAAAAAAGCAAATTTGCAATACTTTGTACTCAAACACTTGCAATACAACAATTTGCTATTATAAATTTTTATCCGGTAACATATTTACCGTCATCTACAATCTATATATCTACTATCTACTATACTAATAAGAGCCCAAGAGAGTTAGGCCTATAATGGGTAGAAAAAATGGCGGTCACAGATTTTAATCAAATGAATGGCTCAGATTGATTAAAAGATTGATAAGATTTAAATTTTACACTAAAATTTCCTAAAATACCCACACACCGTTACTAATTCCGTTAAAATTTTAAGAATTGCCGTTAGTTCACCGTTAACTTACTCATTGATTTCAATAAAAAAAAAGGTCTTAAGTTCGAACTTCATCCCAATCAAAGTTGGCATAATTAGTACTCTATTTTACTCTTATTAAATTATATAAATAATAATTTAGTAGCTACAACAAAAAATTATAGATATGCATTTCTTTAATTTAGAATTATGTGTCCACAATGCCTTTATTCAAAAAAAAAAAATATTCATTATCAATAAATTAAATAAGAGAAATAATTGTATTAGTTATATTGTCTTTATTTTTCTACAATATAAAAATTCTTTATATTCAAATTTATTAATTGATTATATTCGCTACATTGTCCATACAATGTCTTAATTCAGTGAAAAAAAAATTATTCATTATCAATAAATTAATTAAGAGAAATATTTTCATTGGTTATATTGTCTTTATTTTTCTCAAATGTAAAAATTTTTACATTCAAATTCATCAATTGATTATATTCATTACATTGTCTATTATCTTTTTTGTGCACTATTTTTCTAATTAAATATCAAAGTTATAATACAAAATAATGCTATATATTTATTTACCAAGTATTTTATTAATACCATGAAAAAATTAAAAAATATATAATTAATAAAGCCAATCATATTAACTACTTGAGAGATTTTGTGACAAAGAGAGTATTCAAATCACACAACAAATTGAAGTGAGAACTACCTTGCAATGTCCTTGTTTGACAATCCGCAGTTAGCGGATTATATTAGCGGATTTGACCAACGAATTTATTTAATTATTAACATTGGGTAGAAAAAATGACCGCAAAATTATTAAATCAAATGAATGGTTCAAATTGTTCAGGTTTTAATTTTTTTAAAAGTTTTTCTAATTCATCCTTAATTATATGATTATCCATTTAACTTTTTCGTTAAATACAGTTAATTCACTGTTAGTCTAATTCTAATATTAACGTCTAATATAGAATTATAATTACACCATTAAAGTCTTAATAGAACTTAACCACAGATCCTAATGTCGAAATCTCCTCAAACAATATTAGTATATATTTAATATTTTATGCCCTAATTTTTATTTGTTCTCCCTTATGTCCCGTATTTGGTTTCAACCATAATTATACAATTATTTTATTGACAATTATAATCAATCTTGACTATATTATCTTGCATTTGTAAACTTAGAATTACCTATTTAACCCGCACGGGCTTAGCTCAATGGTTTAGTGGGCAGTATTTGGGAGAAGAGACCAAGGTTTGAACCTCGGCGGCGGCAGTGCGGGAATTATGTCCAAAGTGGGCAGATTCCTTGTTCGCACCGGCATTTGGTCCTGTCTGTTGAACCATTGAGCCACCATGATTTACAACTTCCCACAATGCTCTGTCGGGTCGGAGTGTGGGGGGCCCTTGGGGTTGGGGACTCAACCTTTGGGAGAAGAATTACCTATTTAAATACGCAAATTCTTAATATACTTTAAAGTACTTATTTAAAAAAAACATTGGGCATTATCCCAATCGCGCAATGCGCGTAAAAAACTAGTATAATTCTAATAAGAGCCAATAATAGGAATAAAAAAATGTTGGTGGTAATTGTTTCTTAAAATGAATGGTTCATATTATTTTGATTGTAGTATTTTTTTTAATGATTTTCCTTATTTACCATTTATTATATTATTTTCTTCTCTTAAATAACCTTAAATTCCGCTTGTATAAACTTTATTAACGGAATATTTCCTTAACTATTTATTATTCTTAACTTACTCATTAATTTTTTTAAGAAAGGTCTTGAGAAAATGGTCAAATAGGCCCCTGAACTTTCTTCAAAAGGACAATTAGACCCTCAAACTTCAAAAAGGTGCAATTAAACCCATAAACTTATCATTTTAGTGCATCCAAACCCAACAACCGGTAATTCACCTGAAATAGCCAGTCATCAAATTTCTGACGACAATTCCAACGAAATTCCGGCGATCCTTTAAATTAAAAAATAAAAATAAAATCCGGCAACGATCGTCGGATTCCGGGCGTCTTCCACTAGATCGACGACCAGATCTGGTCATCTTCTCCAATGAAGAAGGCGGTCGTCCGGTCCTCTTCACCAGTGGAAGACGACCGGACAGCCGGGATCCGATGACCTTCGCCGAATTTTTTTATTTAATTTAAACGATCGGCAGAATTTTGTCGGAATTGTCGCCGGAAATTTAATAACGAGCTATTTCAGGTAAATTACAAGTTGTTGGGTTTGGATGCAGTAAAATGATAAGTTTAATTTAATTGTTTAAGAGTTTAATTGCACCTTTTTGAACAATCATTATTGTGTGGACTATATTTTGTATATTGTAAATAATGTACATTTAGTACAAAAATAATGTACATTATATTTAGGGGATGTACATTATTTTTGTACTAAATGTACATTATTATATCACGTACATTCAGTACAAAAATAATAATAAGTCAAAGATTCATTACTTTCAAATTTATTTATTTATTATATTCACTACATTGTCTATGGTCTTCTTTTTACATTATCTTGTAATTAAATATCAAAGTTATAATACAAAATATATTATATATATTTATTTACCAAGTATTTTATACAAATATAATAAATTTTCCTAAATATGTATTAATAAATATTATGTGAGAATTATACAATCATATAAGTAATTACATTCGATTATGGTCTAAATCTAAATCATACAACATTTAAAATTATAATTTCCAAAATTATTATTCAAATATATAAAAAAAATCCATCTATATTAATATATGGTACATTTTAACATACTTTTATTTTTCAATTGTACCTAATTAGAATAAATTCGACATATCAGATTTTAACATACTTTTATTTTTCAATTGTACCTTAATTACATAATCCCTCAAAATTAATCATGCTAGATATTAAAAAGATTATGTAACTTTTCGAGTAGGTGAAAACACTATAGAAAAATTAAGGAAGAAAAAAAATACAAAGGATAAAAATGATTAATCTGTAATTCAATAATCTTCTTAATTAATAAGATTAGTGATAATGTGTAAACATAAATAATTCTATTTGATTCTAACACTAAAACAAACTAAATCTATAATACCACTATAAATGTATAACACTAACAAACTAAATCTATAATACTACTACTACTACATATCTATAATTCTACATAATTAATTTACTTTTGTGGTGGTCATATCAACGAAACTCAATACTTGTTTCGACGAAGGAAATGTTGGAACCAGTATGCAGACTTCTTAGGATATCTCATTCTCTTGAGTGTGTTGAAATCAATATACACAATTCCAAACCTTGAAGTATATCCCAATCTCCATTCAAAGTTGTCCACCAATGACCATGCAAAGTACCCAAACAAGTTGGCTCCATGATCCACTGCCCTCTTCACTTCACCTATATAACTCTTGTAGTAAGAGATCCTTTTTGTGTCGTTAAATGATTCGGCTAAGGTGAGATTGCCATCATAATCCATCCCTGTAGTAAACCCAGAAATTTTAATGCCAACTCCAAAACCATCATTAAATATGATATATAGGTTTATTGCATTCAGCATTCAAATCTTACCATTTTCAGATATAAACATACGGGGATTGCCGTATTGTTCTTTTACATAGGTTACTGCCTTGTACAATCCCCATGGCACCATGTACAACCAGTCTGAATTTGCCTATAAACATTCACCACAAAAGAAATTAGATCAGAGAAAACCACGAAAAAAGCAAAGAATTGCAAAATCTTGCAACTAACGCACCCTTGGACCAATTGGCACTCCATTGCGATCATCTGCAAAAATGAATGAAAGCCAAAGAATCAAATATTATTGAGCAAGCTAGGAATCAAGTGACAGAGTAGTAGAGATGAAAGGAGCTAATTATCTTACAAGCAAATACAGCGTTCCAATCATTCTGATAGTCGATGGTACTTGATGTGTTTGGGGAAGGGTCATACACATAATAAGTAGTATACTGATTTATACCAACATAATCAAATGATCCTTTCACCATCTTAACCTCGTCATGTGTGAACTTGGGAAGCCTATCCCCAACAATTTTCTGCATAGTTTTTGGATATTCTCCGTACACTATAGGATGTAGAAACCTGTTTGGATAATACACAAAAGTTACAATTATTGAAAACACTACATACATATATACATCTTCAGTATCTGGCCTAGCTGGTATTGAAATTATTACCATCCTATATGAAAGTCCCTGGCTCTTTGAGCTGCATGTTCATCTGCCATTGTTAGAGGTTCATACCATACAAAATCCAAGAGAATGCCAAAGCTTCCATTCTGTTTCGCCTGAAATATAAACTCGCAAGACTTAAGAAACTGCTCAATCTCACTATCCCTATCTAAGACAAAAGAAAAACACACCAAATTAAATAAAAGAAACCTCAAATCGGCTGGCTTGTCTCACCTGATACTTAGTATGGTATCTTTGAGCAGCTGCAGCATGGCAGAGAATGAGATTGTGTGCAACGGTGTAAGGCTCAGTTGCAGAGTTCCCCTCAGTGCAGTTGGAGCACCTCCCCGGGGCAAAAAATCCAGTGTCGTACCCCAAAGCTGCTACCACCCTGGGTTCATTGAATGAAAACCAGTTCTTCACTCGATCTCCAAATGTTTTGAAGCAGAATTCTGCATAATCAGCAAAATCCTCCCTGACAAATTTAACTCCAATGCATAAGACAAAAACAACATACTTGTAACATTAAAGCCTCAAAAACATCATATATGCATGCTACAACTGTATGTGAAGTACTTACGTCACTTGGCGGCCCAACCATCCTCCATACCTATCTTGAAGTGCTTGAGGAAGATCATAATGGTTAAGACATGCGTATGGAGTAATGCCTGCAGAGCAGCGCAGTCAAATTAAAGAAGCAAAAATTCAACAGTACAGCTAAACACAGATCGATCAACTATTCAGTAATGTTTTTCCTTGAGAAATTACCAACCTTTTTTCAGCATGTAATTGATCAACCTGTTATAGTAGTCAACTCCTTTCCAATTTACCTTGCCAGTTCCATCTATAATCAAATATTAATGAATGAGTGGTTGGTTATGTATGCAAATTAAATTACATACACAAATGCATATATAAATTATATTTATTTGTTAAAATGTATTAAAAAAAAACCATACTTGGGAATATCCTGGTCCAAGAGATTGAGAAACGGTAGGCATCAAAGTTCAGCTTCACCAGCAAATCAATATCTTTCTGTATCCATACAATAATAATATTATTATTATAAAAGCTTAAGAACTGGCAGAATACTTCTGATAGGTCAAAGCAAACATAAAAATTTTTGGCAGTTCAAAAATAAAAACTTATTATCTGTAATACACCATCTTATGTTATGAAACAAGTAAGGAAATCAAAAATAAAACACATTGCAATCTAATCTGTCATAAGTACTTTGTAATGATGGTACTGGTCCACAGCCACATCTCCAGTAGCATTATTAGGCTCAAGTCCTGTACAAAATCAAATCACATGCTTTAGTTTCATTGAAATAATTAATACAATCAGAAAGCAATAAATTGTATTACTAAAAATATATCAGAGAACAAATTAAAGAATATATTTATTACCAGGAGTTTTAATGAAGGTGTCCCAAATACTAGGTCCACGACCATACTTATGAATGTCAGTGGCACCTTCGACTTGGTAAGCCGAGGTGGCTGTGCCGAAAACGAACCCCGCCGGAAAGCTCTTTCTGCTCAGCACACTGGTGTTGCATTGAACTAAACTACTTACAGTGCTAAGCACCAATAGCAGTAGCAACAATGGTGCGCTTCTGGCCATCCCTATCGAATCTCTGGAAAGAAAAAAACAATATAATTGTAGCTACAGTTGTACGTGCAGTGGAGGGAATGAAGTATGAATGAGTTAGAAGGCAGGTTGGGGGTGCATTTATAGTATTAGGATTAAGTAGACATATTGTAGGAATCCTTGCATATGCTCGTAATTATTGTTGTAGTCTGATTAGGTTATTACAATTACACATATAACATATTGTAGTAGGCAGTAGGAATCCTTGTAATTCTTCTTCTAGTCTGATTAGGTTATTACAATTACACACATATATATATATCCTTCTATACTTGTAATTCTTAGATTACCTTATATAAACTAAAAGTAAAAAATACATTAAGAATGGAAGCATTCACGATGTAAAATCAGTGAATAAACTCAATGAAGAAGTCATACCTATATTCGCAGATTAGCAGGGGAGGGCGGGAGGCGGCGGCGGTGGCGTCACCGACTTCTAGCTTCGCCGTCATCCTTGGCTTATGCTTGCTTCATCGTAGATTAGCAGTGGAGGGCGGGAGGCGGCGCCGTTGACTGCTAGCATCGTCATTGACCTTGGGGCTTGGCTTCGTTGTCAACCACTCAACCGTTAACTTCATCGTCGATCGTCGGTTTCGCCGGTAGTATCGTCGTCGTCGACAATAGGCTTTGGCCGAGTTTGGATGAGCGACAAAGACTGAAAGACACTTGGGGATCGTTTACTTCGTTTCTCTGTTTTTCCTTTTCCAATTTTTCATTTTTCCAGTTTTTCAGTTTTCCATCTCCATTTCTCCAGTTTTCATCTCCATTTCTCCAGTTCTTCATTTCTCCAATTTTCTGATTTCACTTACAAATTTCATAATATCGAGCACAAGTAATAATAATAATAATAATAATAATAATAATAATAATAATAATAATGATGATGATGATGATGATGATTTCATTTTACAAATTTAATTTTAAATAAAAAATTCAATACACTAATACTAAATGTACAAAATGTAACAAAAGTCGATAAAAACATATTATTAAATAAATTACAATTAATTTAATAATTTTTTTTAAGTCGGTAATTATTTCAATAATTTTAGTATATAGTTTGAGAACATAATAATAAAAATTAATATAAATATAATAATAATAATAAGTAACAATAGTAATTAAACGGAAAAAGGTATAATAATAATAATAATAATAATAATAATAATAATAATAATAATAATGTTATTCACTTGTTTGCACGGGGGTGGGGTGAAGAACAAAAGAAAGAAAAAAATTGGGGGCTGTGCGCTGGGGAAGGGGAAAGTAAAAGAATGCGTATAAATGCATTGCTGATTAGAATCGATGACAAGACCTCATGGAAAGAGTCACTATTCACGTGCATCACTCCATCTCTCCATTTGGAGATATTGGTATTTCCTTTCTCCAAATTCCTTAAGAAAGTTGGAGAAAGGAGATGGAAATAGGATTTGGAGAAAGAATTTTAGTAAACAACTTCTCCATTTTTCATTTTTCTACCTCTCCAATTTTCTACTTTTTTGGAAAATCTTCCATTTCTCCATTTTGGTAAACAACCCCTTGGATTCGCAGAATCGCAGGAGTCATTCTACATTTGTACGGAAAATAGATTTAGGGATTTTAGAATTTAGATTTTGGGTTATAGATTTAAATAATAAAAAAAAATCTAATATAGTATATATGGCGATTATATAAATCAATATTAAAAATTATTAAAGAAAAAATTAATGTAGTATATACCAACAATTAGGTGTATAACCGTTGTATATACATTTATTTCAAAATAATTTTTTTTTAAATAAAAAGTATAAATAACGGTTGTCGGTATAACCACTATATATACAACATATAGAACTTTAGAAAATGCACATTGTGTTTTTTTAATAATGTATGTATACTTTTGAGCTTTGATGAGGGGGTTTGTACAAAGATATAGAAAAGTGATTGTCATATTTGAATGCTTCTTAAAGGGATGCAAACAATGAAATGTATCTAGTTGCTTGGGATGTGGTAGAAATTCAAAATAATACTACGTAATTTATAGAGGTGATTCAAAATTGTTTCCAGAAGCAAAACATAGAAACTGTTCTCAACATATGCATGCAAACTGGAGTAAAAATTACAGAAGCATGGTTTTCAAGAAACTATTCTTGAAATGTGCTAATGCAATAACTACATCATAGTTTGATGAAGTGACAAAAAAACTTGACAAAGAGAGATCCTAAAGCAAGGATTTCGGAAATCATCTATCTAAGCTATGGTGTAAATCATTTTTCGAACCACTATGAAATGTGATGCTATAGACAAAAGATATCATATAAGTGTTTAATGGAAGTATCCTAAAGGCGAGATAAAAGCTTATTGTCGTCCCAATGCTTAAAGATATTTGTGTTGTTGTGATCACGAGGATTGCAGAAAATAGTAGGTCTTTGGAGGAGTGTTAAGGAAACCATTAGCCTATGAGCCTATCATTTTAAAGAAATTAAATCAAAATTTGTTGGATAGTTTTGGATGTCATGTTGACTTTAATGGTCTTGATAGCTTTGAGGTTAAGTGAGGAAATGAGTAGTTTAAGGTTAAACTCTAAGGACATGTAGCTGCAAAGCATGGGATTTGAGTGAGATCCTTTTATACACATTGTGTGTGCAATTTTTGATAAGAAAATGATCCAATAGATTATGTAGATCATTGCTATATGAAGGAGATGTTTCATGTGATTTATTCTCATGCACTTGAACCAATAAATGAGAAATTATTATGATCAATAATACAATTTCAAGAAAGTAGAGTTCTTGTACCAAAGAGAATAATTATATGACCTAAGAAAAGAATGAATTGTGATGGAACTTAGTCACATCATTCTAAAACCAAAATGTCAAGGGGAACAATTAGTTATTCCATGTGTAAAGATAGTATACATATTAAGAGATTTTGTCCAAGAAAAGCAATTGAAACACAAACTTCAACTAGAGTGATATACATGAATTTGAATTTGGAATTTATACTAACTCACAAACAAGACCCGTAACATTGAAGATAAAAACACTAAAATTTGTCATAATAGTTTTTTCTCAATAAATAAATAAAAATAGTTTCCACTATTAGCTAAGTAATATATATATATATATATATATATATATATATATATATATATATATATATATATATATCATTGAAAAGCTATTCTTGGTATTTTATTGTAGCAAGGGTAAGCAAGGGAAATAGTCATTTATGACTTTTGAGAAATGATTTTTTTTCTCAACTATGTTCTGTTTGTACTAATAAGAATAAAAACATTAGAATAGTAACCAATCTAAACTTCAAAATATTATTGAATATCTAAACATATACTAGTAAGTACTAAATAGCAACGAATCATTGCCTTCTTAGTTCAAACTGATAAGCTATGGGTAACCTAGACCTTGTGGTCATTTACCCGGTAGGGTCACAAGACAGGATTTACCCACTGAGTTTTACTATACAAACTCCGAAATTTTACTCTCTTGCTTGTACTTGCTGAGGTGACAAACAAGAATTGGTTAATTTTCATTATGTGGGTCCACAGAAAAGTGTCTACATCAAGAACATGTGAGAGAGAGTACAAATTGGAATTATAAAATGGGAGTACACTAAGTATTTTCCTTACCCACTACACACTCTTAAATGGGTAGTGACTGCGAGTTTCTCCATCACCTAATTTTTTTTTTTTTTTAAATCATTAAATATGAGCATACTAATGCAAATTAAATAAAGTCATCTAGCAAGGATGCTTACAACAAAATAGGATCATATTCAAATTTTCCACTATTGTGCTACTTACCCAAGAAATAAATTCCTACAACTATTACACTAAAAAAAAAAAAAAAAAAAAAAAAAAAAAAAATCACCCACATTATCTTAAATTTGTTTATTTCCATGAATTGAACTTCAAAATCTTTTCATAGGTGTTTGATTTCATCCTGCAATTTTAGTATTAAATTCTTCAACTCAGGTACAAACTGATTACTAGCATCATTGAAACTTCAATGTCATTGCAACACACACAAGATGCATTTTTCTTTTCCAAACAAAGAAACCACATCTTCCATGTTATAAACAACAATTATATAAATTAAACTCTGCAAATACATATGCAGTCTTTTCTCAGTCTAGCACTTTGTATTGGGACTCTGTCACTCCTACTTTATTTTTGGTTTGCTATAATATTTCTACCGTTTGGTTTGGCTTTCAAAAAAAAAAAAAAGAAAAAAAAAATAACTCTGCAAATGCATTGAATAACACACTCATTACACGAAATAATTCGTATACAATATACAAAAACACAAACCTTATATTTTTTACACCTATTTTTTTTTTGTCCACTATCTTGTGTGTATGACACTATGGAGCTTTCACTCTACAACGACAATAGATGGGTGGCTCATAATGGAGATTTGGTCATGAAGAAGTCGATGAAAATGGTGATACATTCCAACATGAATAAGAATTTTTTTTCAAGAAATTTCCTTCGAGCTATAGTGAAAAAACAAGAGGATGAGAGAGTGAGAGAATGGGAAGTCGATCAAGAGAATGAGAGTGAGATTGGGAAATAAATCAATGACAATAAGAAAATGAGAAATTAGACTATGGGAGGGGGGATGTTTGTAGATCTTGGTGTTATTTATTTTTTTTTTTATTATGGAGTATTATTTTTTAAAGTCTCCACTTATAATAGACTCAATTAAATTATTTAGTTGATTTAGGTTGCTTATATAATAATACGAGTAAATAGAAATTTTAATAACATATATACATGCATTCCATATATACAAAAAGTAGTGACAATTTGTAGTTTGTTCTCGATCCATCATTTTTCTATAATTGATAGGGAAGGTAACGGGGCGGGGCGGGGGCGGGGAGTATACTCCCCATCCTCGTTCCCGCCACCCTAACCCCGTCTCCGTCCCCGTCCCCACGGGGAATTTAGCGGGGATGGAGAATCCCCATCCCTGATCAATCCATAGTACAATTTAAATAAAAATAATAAAATCTATAAATGAAAAATTCAACATTCAATATTCAATAATATATAATATATTTGAATATATAAACAGTATTAGTATAGCAATGCTTTATGTAATTATGTTCAGAATTTAAATACATATATTCTATATCATAAACAATATATATGCACAGTACACAATGCTTTATACAATTATGTTTAATTACATACATTATATTCTATGTAATATTCAATATACACAGTATACAACAGTATTTTATGTAATTAACTAATTATGTTTAAATCAACAGTACACTGTATTAGCCACAGACAAAAAGAAATTCTAATAATCTATATCTAATTTCTAATTCCTAAAACTATATATATATATATATATATATATATATATATATATATTATTCGGGGACGGGGCGGGGCGGGGCGGGGAGGGGTATCCCCGTCCCCGTCCCCATTCCCGCCGGGGAATTTCACAAACTCCCCGTCCCCGTCCCCGTCCCCGATCCCCTAATTTTTTCCCCGTCCCCGTCCTCGTCCTCAGCGGGGGCGGGGATCCCCAGCGGGAACGGGGCACATTGTCATCCCTAATAATTGAATTTTATTGTAAAAAAATGTATATATTATTTTATGATCATAATTACGTGTTGATTCATAAACTCCACCTTAATTATGCGGACATAAATA